GGCACGTTAAGCCGTTGGTCCCAGCTGAATTTGTAGTAATTAATACCCTCCAATCCGCATTGGAGGGTCATGACTCATCCTCCATAACCATTTCTTAAAGAAGACCAGACCCTCTACACTTGGGACCTCAAAAAGGCTGATGACGATAATTGATATTGAAGCTCGATAGACGTTTGGTCTGCGATGCAGAATTTAAATAACTTTCACAAAGGCCGGTTTTAGGATGGGTGACCGAAAATTTATTGTTCCTTGCTTCGGAAGGCATTGTAAGTCGCCACTGTAATTAGATTGTCCCTGCTGCATCTGCAGTGGTTAACACCTACAAATCCACATTGGGCCGGCGTGATGGGTTATGGCTCATTCTCCCTCTTCGATTCCATCCATACGGAAAGCATGTGCCCCATTCATAGGCTGGTGATATGATACGAGTGATATTAAAGTCGTATGAAACATATAAAAGCTGTATAAGTAGGAATATGTCGTTATTATGTATTCTAGTAGTTGTAAATGAAGCTACAATAGTGTATATAATCACTTAAAAGTGCCATTTTCTCATAATGTGGTTTGGTTAGTTGGTGACAAACAAAAAAAAAATACTCTTTAAATCAATTTGTATTTGACATTTATTTGTTGATGCAGTTGTGTCGTATGTACATTAAAAGATAATTTATAATGTCTTACATTTATTTAAGAGAAATTAGTAATCAAATTCTATCTATTGTTGAAACAGGTGTTATTTTGGATGTGATATATCAGTTTAAGAAAATTATATTTTCTTTACCTTCTCTTTTCTCATAATAGGCTGTGTTTATAATGTGGATAGAACTTCTAAATTTTTTAAATTAAAACGTGTCTGACTTCTCTTTAGGGTTTGGTACCAAAAAAAAAAACGGAAACGTAGTCGTTACTTTTTAAAACACGAACGTGCTCTTTAAAACATGAAGGAGCTCGAGATAATAAATTTTTGTTCACCCATCATATGACCAGCTATTGGGAAAGTTGCTTAACAAGTTCCTTTTTTTAACGTTAGGGAAATTCAAAGCTCTCCGACTTCGTACCCGTCCTGAAAAGGACAGACCTACATGGTAAAACCCGCCATGGATATCCTCCGGGGAGGACGGAAGGACCCGGGTTCTGGCAAGGAGACCGCCGAGTCACATCATGAAGCGCCTAAAAAATTATAGATTAAAAGTAATGGAGTTATTCCTTAATACTAAAGCAGGCATTCAACCTTTTGTGATTATTACTCGACCTATAAAATTTTCTTTGTGTATTACGTAGTTCGTCCCTGGTTTTGGACAATAGCGAAGGTCGGTACTGGGCTGCAGTGCGTGCTAACAGGCGTTTAGCGACCGGCCCAGTCCCCTGGGGCCCGCTCCTTGCCGCTTTGCTTCTAAATCTAACAATGTTTTTTGGCGAGCTGTAATCAAATAGAACAAAGGTCCGAAACATTGAATATTTTATTACGTATACGGAGAGAGCAACAACTCTCGATTTTGTTTGACATAATATTAATAGGTAGGTAATTAAAGAAAAATATTTTAAGATCAAATTGTTTTTATCGTTATACTTTATAAACTAAAGATAATGTACAAATTGAGAAAAATAACACGATCGTCTGAATTAGGATCTTCCTGGATATTAAGCGCAAAAAAACTTTCTTTATTATATAATAAGTTATTAATAATATATCAATATGCCAAACAAATTGATTACTGTAAAGAATAATAGCAATTCGTGCATGTAATTATAAATTTAATTTAAAGCAACAATCCCTATTTATTATGTTTGGTATATTTTTCATTCACAGTGCTATACTGTAAAAAAAAAAAATTAATAACTAATTAACAGCTAACAATAATAATTTTTGAAGGACTTCTTGAAGAATATTCTTACATATGTTATAATAAGGTGTATTATGATGGCAAACATTATCTATTTTTATTTTATGGCAAATTATTACTTACTTACTTTTATTACAATTATGAGAAGGTTAAAGAAATCCTTATAGGATGTCTAGGTCTATCTGGGCTTTCTTCGAATCTGCTAGACCGATTGAGCTGTTTGTTATACACATTTAAAACTTTTAAATTTACATTTTTTTCCAAAATAAATCGTTAAATACTAATTAATTTATTATTGTCCAATGTTTTTAATTGAAATCAAGTTAATCAATTAACTGATTACGTTTGGCCAGTGGCCTTCCTATCACGGTTACGCCATTGTTTGGAGTGTTATGATCGATTGATGATTAAGCTAATGGTGATATTGCAATCATGTTATTGGTAAACAAACTATCGACCTCGTAACTCGCACATATTTATAGTCAGGAGTGCCTCTAAACTATGTAAACTAGAACAAGTACCTCTAAAACCCAGGACATGTAGGTAGGTAGCTAGAAAATCGCGGATTTTTCCAACGTAAGTCAGACACTGCGCCCCCTGGGGAGCGACCACCGAACACTCTCGCTTTAACTCTAGGTATAGTTATAAAACTGTTTTATTAATTTTATCAGTGAATATGTTGGTATTCTTTTCTAATGTGTTAATTACATGTTAATTCTATGGTTTTGGTTGTTGTAGTTTCCGGAATTATATTAAGTTTTATTAATTTTAGTTATGATAAAACTATAGTTAAATCGAAAAGTGAAATTAACCAAAGTGTCGGAAAAAAATATAAATAATTGTAAATATATAATTATCTGAGAATATTAAAAGGTTAATTGATCAAATTAAGAAAACGTTTTTATAGCTATAAAGAGAGTTAGGCAGTATCTCTTAGTAGTGGTAAAAGACGCGAGGAAGAAGCTTAATTGCCCTAGAAGTATAAAATCAAATCCCTGCGCAACTAGCAATAGAAGTATCTCAAAATAGCCTTTGCAACAAAAACTTTTTTCTTAATTTAGAAAAAAGTTTTTGTTGCAAAGTTTATCTTAATCAAAGTTTAGTTGTTAGTTTAGATTAGATAATGTCGTTGTTGAATATGTTTCATAATTATATTCTACTGTTTCAAAATTGAGGAAATATAATTAAATTATTTATATAGGTAGGTTGGTAGTTAGTTTCTAACTACAATAACCTCGGTTCATTTCTAGACTGTATAATAAATTTCAACAATAATAGATTAATAGAATAAATACAATACATTGATAATAAAAGTTTATTAATTTCATTAATTAAATTAAATTATTCCAAGCTAACTGACACTTTTATCGGATGGGCTAAAATATAGTGTAGACAAAACTCTTTCGGATTTGTGGCGTTACGTGTAGAGGTCAGTTATTTGCCAAATATCAACCCAGTATAAGAATAAAACCAAATACAACATTAATTCAACCAACATGCGTAGCATGCAGCTGAAAATCAATGTTTTGCTTCCACAGCAAAAATATCACTGAGCTGTAACTATTTTGTATCGTTGCGGCACACTTTATAGGATAACATCTAACATGTTATGGCTGTAGTTTTTCATGTAGTGTAAATGTGTGCCGATCGCATAATTTTTTTTTTACCATGTCGATCTCGAGAGCATTTTGTCTACACCCAAATGTCACTTTTCTCGGGTGTGTCTATACAATATCTCAGTCTCGACTCGAGAAAAGTGACTTTAGTGATAACAAAACATCCTCGAGTTTATCATGCTACGGACACAGGAATATTCCAGAGTTGTATCACAGCAAATAAATAGTTTGAACTCGAGAATGAAAGATGGCGATAATTTGAGGAATTGTCAATCAAAAAACACAATGTCAGTAAAAAGTTCTGATATCGTTGGTAGGTTCGAAGAAGAATTTAATATTCCTCAGACAATTGTAACTGTATCTGGCTGTTTCGAGCAAAGTAGCATCTTCATAACGAGCACTTCGTAATTTGGAATGTGAAACAAGAGCTTACTGAAATCAACATTATGTTAATGTGAATGAAATGAAAAGACAGCTTAATACAATTTAGCCATTATCGGCTCGGTACGAGGCACGATTTAAGACGTTTGCGGTATTCCATTACATTGGGGCTAGGGTTGGAAGCTTTTATAAAATTCACAAAGTCACTCGAAAGTAAATTCGGAAGAGAAAAATGTTTTTTTTTTAGACATTCTCACGCAATTTATTCATTAAATAACGCTACTCTTAAAGTATTTACATTAACAGTCTATTACTGTCCCCACTAATAACACTACTTTTAAAGTGTCTAATATCATTATGACCAGCTTATTAACGGTTCAGGCCTTCCCTATGCATGAAACCAAATCAAAGTGAATAGGGAGAATGGAACAACTTCGCCGAGTATTAAGGTCTGCACATGTAGTAGAAATCAACAACCTAAAGTCTCTTCCGAAGCACGGAGAACTTGAGATAGTAAATTTATATTTACCCATCCCATGACGGCCCCTTGCGAAATTTGCTTAATAACCGTATCGTAGAACCACTGCATCATCGAGCTCATCCATTGTACAGAGCAGTAATAGCCTACTTGGAGGACCAGTTGAGAAGGACCCTACAGCACCTGATCAGATTTTAGCCAATGTAGGATCAACTTTATTGCATCCATCAGGCTATTTTGCCGTTACGCTTATTTCATACAGTTTTTTTTTATGCCCGGCCTTACATTTTTGGCCGAGCCCTACATTGCCCTCCATTCTGTACCAGGACTCTTTTAGTCTTTAATTAGTTTATACAATTTCATACTGCTTTAGTGTCAAAAAAGAGATGGAGCTCGATGGTACGCATCAAAACGCACTGGCTAGTGCATTTTGTATACGAGCTTAAGCAACAAAATCTTATCGGGTTGTGACCAAAAATTTTATACGTGTATCGAGCACCTCCCTATCCCGGGAGACATGTTAAGCTATAAGTCCCTGGTGTACCTACAACCGTTATTATCCACCAGTCCGCATTGGGTCCGAGTGGTTCGTTATGGCTCATTCTCCTCGGTGATAATTTTTTTTACACCTACGGAAAGCTCCATCGCACACGGGTGATATGCATCCAGTTTCTGACGATTTCCGAATTGAGAAATTAAATTTAAGAACCTCTCAAACTGTATTTTTTATCGCTTCTGAGCTTAATTATTTTATTGATCAGTTGACAGCGGTTTGATAAAACTATGACTTATTGACATGTGACAAGTATAAACTCAAGTTACTGAGAGTAGCTCGATGGCGTAGTGGATAAGCGCCGCGGCCCGCGATCGTAGTCGTCAAGCAACTTTCGCAAGGGTCGGTCACGGGATGGGTGACCAAAAATTATTATCTCGAGCTACTCCGTGTTTCGGAAGGCACGTTAAGCCGTTGGTCCCGGCTGCATTGGCAGTCGTTAATATCCTCCAATCCGCATTGGGCCAGCGTGGAGGGTCATGGCCCATCCTCCTTAACCATCCATAAGGAAGGCCTGAGCCCCTGCAGTGGGGACATAAAAAGGACTGGTAATGATGATGACTGAGAATGATCAGTTGAGATGTTGTACTTTTCTCAGTTCAGAACCGACCGTTAGGCTATTATAGTGTATAATAAAACAAAAGTTTTAATACATCATTTATTTAAGTGACATGTGTAATTATAATAATCACATAACTGCTAAATAGATATTATAATGATTGCACGTTTTTCTTTGGATCCGTTTTGTACAATAGATTTTATACAATATTTACATAAACTAAGTGGTAACAATAAAATTAAATAAAACATTGAGTAGTCATTAACTACAGATTACCGTACATGACATTCGGTCAGTTGCACAAACGTCCATTAAGTTTTAATTACGCCTTTAAGCTTAATGATTATCAAATTTGTATAGGTTATGTTGTTTTAAACTAATGAAAAAAATAATGTACGTTTGTGCATATGGCTGGTTAAAACTTATTCGACTCATCGAAAAATTAATTATTTTTTTAAATGAAATAAGATATTGGAATCATTTTTATTGCTATAAAATAAAAATTTAAGCAAAGTTTGTAAACATTTTGAATGGAGCATTATTTGGGCATGCCTGTGAGAAAAAAAAATATGGGTAATAATTAGATTTATTAGAATCTCAATTTTGCTATTATAAACATTAATAAAACGGCATTTGATTACATTTTGTCGTAATACTTAAAGTTCAATATTATCAGTAAAATGGCGTCTTTGTAAACAAGACGCCATGTCTTGATAAATCAGTGATGACGGTTATTTTTGTTTATAAATGATACAGTTATAAGGACTGTGACGAAAAGAGACGCCATTGAAACGCCATTATAGCGTTAACATAAGTAGAATTGGGGTTCGGGATAAGGTCTTTTATTTATTATGAACTGATTATCTACATTCAATATTTAAACATAACGTAAGTATTTACAATTTGCCTAATTAGTAGCTATTAGATGTGGGCATCTTATTTGTTATTTAAAATTAAAATGTTACAGGTAAGTTCATTCCTGTCTGGGTCTTTTGATGTTATTTTTATTTTATTAGAAATTCTATTTAAAATGCCATAAATTAATTATATATTTTGTTGCGTTAGTTTTTTTATAATATTACCGAATTACCCTGAATAGACTGCCTTTGATTTTATTTTATATCTTTCTTAAGAATTTAGATGCCATTTTAAATTTTTATGACAACTTTATGATTACATTGAGTAAAATTTTTATTTAAGAAGTTTAAATACAGTTTTAAGGGAATGATGCTTGGAATGAAATATTATTGGACAAAAGAAATGGAATGAACTTTTGTACTTCAAAAGCATCGTTAAAGGGCTCGATTAATATAATTACTTTAAAATTAACATGGAATGATTTTATCAGTCCGTAAATATAAAAATTCTTTTAAGAAAAGATTTCACTATTATTTTTAACTTAAAACAAAAATCTAGTGAACACCCCCCATATTCTGACACGATATTTTATACAATGCCTAATTGTGACATTCAACAATGCTTGTTGTAAAAAACAGGTTTCAAAATTAATTTACAATGAGATCAAAAACTCACAACAACAAGTTTTATTATAGCAGCATATCAAGTTACTACAACATATTTCTAACTTAATTTCATACACAATAAGGCTTAAAGTTGATTGCATAAATTTCACAATTCTTTATAACCTGATATGCTGGCGAATGTACAATCATAAATCTATTATAAATAAATCGAGTTTGACTTTAAATAGTTAAAGTGATGTCACCAATAAAGTAGAATCATTATCTTATTATACATTATTAATTATGTCATAAAAATGATGATTTGTGATTGATTAGAAACTGCTTTTTAAAGAATTTTTTTTTTAAATAATTCTTGATACAGATATTCAATGATATGACTTTTTACAACAATCACCACGTTAAAGAATTTAAAAAAGAATTGTCTATACATATTAATAAATTTTTGGTTTCAAGCTGTCGTATTTACATGGCAGAGTGATATCGAGATTGGACTCTCTCTTCCTAAAATATGGTTGTGATTGCCTTATTGCCTTAGCGCCAGGTAGCGGGCGCGAAGGCTGTTGACGTTCAGGAGGGGAGGGCCTGCAGGGGGGGCACGGAGGTGCTCATATGTGGGGTCCTGAAGTCGGGGTGCGGTGCTCTCAGCTCTGCATGGGGAGGCCGGAGATCTGTCAACGGTAATGATAACACGTCTTGATTATTTTAAGTTCGAATTTCAAATTAAGTGATTGTGTTCTAATTCGATAGCTTCCAATTTTCTTTTTTTTTTCTATCAAAGAAACTTTATTAAAACTGTTTTAAAGAATCATTCTATTGAAGACAGTTTTTCAATTAAGTCAAAGATATATTGATTTAGAATGCTCGTCGTTTAAAGCTTGTTAAAAATTTATTTACATACAACATCACATTTCTTTAATTGCAATATAAGATATCTAATGTATGAGTTTTCACTTAAGGGAAAATAAATTACACCGGGATAGATTTGAACTAGTTGAATCACGGACTTATCCTTTATCTTTCCTATTTTTATCCAAAACGATTAGATATTATAATAGTTACATCACACACCTAAATGTTTAGTCGGCTAATTAATTATATATTAAACCTTATCTCATATTATCTCCTGCTCGAGATAAAACTTTGGAGAATAAGAAAAATATTATCATTCACCAATAATAAATAATTCAAAACTGCCCCTTCTCCCCTGTAAGCAGTTTCACCATTTATTAATTATAAATCGACTCACCTATTCTATGATCTGTGACTGCATGCATATCGGGTGCATGCATAGCATGAACGTCTGTATGCGGCGGTTGCATATGCGCCTGTGGTGCTCTCAGGTCCGCATGCTGCGTTTCGCGGTGCCGACGCAGATCTACCTTCCTTTGAAACGCCCGCCCGCATAATTCGCATGCGAAAGGTTTGAACCCGGTATGCTTGCGTGAATGAGTGATCAGATTTGAACTCTGACTGAATGCTTTACCGCATACTTGGCACTTATGAGGTTTTTCACCTGAGGACAATAGGAGAACAATATTAAGCAATTGTATTATGCAAACCTGAAACGGCGACGGTAAAATCTACAATAAGACCGAAGACAATAAGAGAAAATGTTATTAAACTTAGACCTCTTTATACGAAAATAGCGCGGACGAAGGAGTGGGGAATTTGGCACAATTAGTTTATGTCGAAAAATGCAGATTAATATAATTTTTTCTAATAATGCGTTTTTTTAAACATTACAGAGAACTTTAATAGACTACCGGAATTCAGAATTATTATAAAAATAAATATTAGGTCTTTGTAAAGAGTTCCAAAGTTTTTGCATTACTTAAAAGTTTAATGATGGCTTTGTAAGATCATGATTGGTTATTATGGTTTATCTCTGCTCATGAAATAGATATTACTTTAAGAGAAAGTATTATCTCTAGATCTAGATAAGTGCAGACAACAGCGTGTCTATAAAGCAATCGTGATTCCAACGTCAAAAGAATTTAATAAGGCTTTGTGAAGGCAACCTTTTGTTGTTATTATTGAAGGTTTTCAATTACTTTAGATAAATTCTTCTTTTCTTTTAACGTCTACATTTTTTTGTTGATAAAACATATTTAACATAACATTATTATCATCAATTACTTAACATAAATGTATTATGTTGTTTTAATATAACTTGTTCTTTTTATTCTTGGCTTATAGTTAATGTTTAGACTACGCCGCGTGGCGCTTGTTTCACACATATGCTCACGCAGAAAGGAGCTAATATAACTACTGATGTACTATAATATGACACCGTAATACGCGAGGTGGGTTAAGTCGGACTAATTACAAACGCAGCATGTTGCAAAAAGTATAATTATGTCATAATGTATATTGATAGGCGGGTATAGTAATTATAGATATCATATTGGACTAATTTTAGATAAATTGACTACATTATTTTACAGAAAAATATATAAAAATCAACCAAGATAGGTATAGGATTTCAATTTTCGCACAGTCCAGTTGAATGCTCTATCAATAGAGCTTACAAAATATGCTTTTGAGAACTTTCATAAATATTTTAGCGAGTTCATTTAAACAGTATAAAGAAAAGAATTTTATTAATATATTAACTTCCGGTTAAATTCAATAGGTACTAAATTATATTTTGGTCACGACAATGTCAAGAGGAAAACAACGTGGTGTTGCAACAGGAAATCATCGGCGACCAATGCGATGCGACTTGTCGCGGCCGTTAGGTAATTACCTTCACAAATCACGGCACGCTATCGGACCGAACTTAGGTACAGTTCCGAAAAAGGGCCGCACTCCGTCAATCAAGGGGCTGCCGAGTGGCGACTTCATTATAGACAGGGACGGCCGAGCGGCCCTCCCGCTCGCGCTTCAGACTCGTGTCGCGAGAGCAATTTATATCCGTCGTGCCATTGGGCCGTGATTGCGGCGGCTCCTCCCCACGTCGCGTAGCAACGGTGGGGGGGCGACCCACCATGCCTCCCTCCCCTACCCACTTTATGGATCGCAATTTTCCTTTGAATTGGAAATCAGAGCGCTCGCCGCGAGTCTCGCTCGTTAGCCCTCTCTCCATCTTCGCGATACTTCCGACTACAGATTTTTACTGCGCCCGAGAAAGATGTTCTGGGGCCGCGGCTAAATTGTGATGTTTACGTCTGAGGCCTCCTTTTTTGCCTTCGCACGTTATACGCGGGGTGAATACGTATTCGCTCGTGAATTTGGGGTATGTTCAAATGAGCCTTTCGATGAACAGCGGCAGATAATAAACTATTCGCCTTGTAATGTTACTTTCCTTATAGAGGAATTACCTTACTTTTATATAAAACCTTTTTAGAACAAAAAGTGCAACTTCCTCCAACTTGGTGACTGTGCAAAGTTTCCTTTTATTCGAACGTTATTTTAAAGAATCTTTTGTCGGTTTTATACTCATCAAATCCTAAACCTCTTTACTTAAGTAAGCACAAATGTTCCCAACTTCAACAATTACAGGGAATTACAATCCCTTACGCGGAGTATCTGGAACCGCGTGAAATCTTCGCATCCCGTCCTTTAACAGCGTAATTACGCTTCTATATTACTGGGGGTAGGAAGGGCGAGAAGGGGCCGCCACTTAATTGTTTTGGGGGTGAAGTGAGGAAACTGAATGAATTCAATTGAAAGACGACCGTCTATGTATTTATTGATCTATGCTGAAACTTTGGAGATTGATTTATTGCAATCTAAGTACTTTGTTTAGGGATTCATTTTCGATTAAAAATAATAACTTTATTTAGTACGAAAAAAACACTGTGCCCAAGTATAATTTCTCAGAAGTAATTATGGATAGGTTTTATAGAGAAAAGTGGGCTTTAGTATACTTGGCATTTGCTAACAGTTGGCATTGACCTGACACTTACATGCATGCGTATTTTCACTATCCATAATAAGGCATAACTTACCTAAGTAAAAATCACTTAAAATTAAAAATAGCCTAAGCATAATTATCGTTTCACCAAACTTGTAACGTTAGGTAACGCCTTACTTAGCTAAATACTATATAATAATTTGCGTTTCGATTGACTTTTTTCATCGTATTGTTTTACGTGTATTGCATACTTAAAAGGTAATAGATGATAATACTAGTAACTATAACTATACTAGTAACGATAATACTATAACTTTTATTTGGGACTGCTTAGATTCCCATTTCAACTCCGACGATCTAAAGTTTGAGTTTATGTTAAAAGGGCAGTGTAAAATGTATAACAGCAGTGTTTTTTTGGGTCTTGAGACAAAATATTATATTTGCGATGGAATCAACAGGTTGAAGACGTTTTTTTAAGAAAGTTTAATTACAAGCTTGCAACACTATCAAGAGGTGATTAATGCTTTCCTTCTAATGATTTCAAAGACATTCTGAATAGGTTGTTGGTAGTAAACGAATACGACACCAAACCTATTGTAGATTTGAATTCAGATTTATGTTGGACAAGAAACTAGATCGATGATATGAGGTTAAAGCTTTCGATGTGCGTTTATGGAGGTAATACTATAATTATGAAAGCTAGTGTCCAAATGGACGACGAATCATCACCAGCCTTGTAATATCTCCAGTGCTGAAGCCTTTCCACGTGAATGGAATCGAATCAAATTGAATAGGGAGAATGAACAATGATCCATCACGCGTGACGATGAGCTGTAGATGCATCTGGGACTAACGGGTTAACGTGCCTTCAAAAGCACAGAGGAGCTAGAGATTATAATTCACCTATTATATGATTGCGAAAGTTTACTGTTCGAATTATAATATTAATAGCATTACTCATTTGTTCGTGAGTCTTCCTCATTTCATTGAACGCCAAATCCCAGGATTTCACACGAAATCGATATGATACGCGAATATCCATTGAAACGTTATAACAGTTTGGATAGACGCGTTAAGTATTAAGTTCCCGGGTTGTGATTGAACGCATCCCGGCGAGCGATAACCGTAAATCCCGCGATCCAGGCCCGAAGTATCCAGGGCTGTTGCAAGGATTTGTTCGGTTTTATGAAGCCCCTTTTAGTGGGAAAACTTACATGTGTGAAGATGAATGCGAAGGTCACGTTCGAAAGTTTGGGAGTGGTGTGCGAGAATAACGAAATGTAATATAGCACAATACATGAAACGACTTTTAAGCGGTTTCATCGCGTTTCGGACACTTTAAAGGTTGCGTGTTTAAAAGTTGTTTCATTTATGGATAAAAATGAGCGTGAAAATAAAAGAAATCAATAGAAAATAAAGCTGAAATTACAAAGTACATCTGTAGTGTTATTGATAAACTAAAAGGTAAATATAACTTTGTATTAAGGTACTAATAATATGCGCAAAATTGTCTCTATAAAAAAAAAGTCCCTCCAAGAATTGGTTTTGTTATAACTATACCTCATTATCAAAGGTGCTGTTTGGTAACTGAACGTTTTTAAAGATGTGTAAAAATACATCTTATATCGATATCGATAATTAGTTTTAAATTAGCACAATAATAAAGTTATTTATTTCATTTTTACGTACGTTTTACAATGTTAAGTTACCGAATAGCACTTTCGATTTCGGTGCCTAATTATTAACTATTATTATTGAAGATGCCTGAACAGGCTTTTGGAGGCTTACGTTATTAAAGCAAAGCCTGATTTAGTATAAAACTGTCGATTATATCTTCAAGGCTTTTATTAATAATTATCAAAAGATTATTACAAAAATCAGCCGAGTGTGAGTTTCATACCGGAAACGAGCAAAAAAAAATCACGTTTGTTGTATGGGAGCCCCCTTGAAATATTTGTTTAATTTCAATTCAGTTATTATTTTAAAAGTTACCATATTAATATGTCTTCTTTAAATATTTCAGCGTCTGCTTTTTGCCGTTTTGAACATCGATCAAAAACAAGCAAAAACTCTCGTTTGTTGTATTGGTGCCCCCTTAATTTTTTTTTCTGGTTTTTAGTATTTGTTGTTGAAGCGGCAACGGAAATATGTCATATGTGAAGCTTTCTAACTTTCGCGTTTCAGAGTCTGGTAACAGACACACAGACAGCGAAGTTTTAGTAATAGGGTTCCCATTTAACACTTTGGGTACGGACGGACTCTAAAAAGCAATCTGTGTTACCAGATTACAAATCTTCTCGATCTAATAATACCAACAAACATAGAAGCAATAATTACACAAATCGCCATAAAAGCAAAATATAATATCACCCATAGACACAGATTGCCGGGAGAAATCATTACAAACCATTATCGGGCACTAAACTCGAGATTCGCAATAAAACAGACATTAATATAATTAAATTATCACCCGATTCCGGCCCTGGCTGCCTCATCTGCACAGTATCACACAGCCGGATTTTTATGGGGACGTACTTTAGGCGCTACTGAATTAAATATATGATGCTTCCAACTTAAAGTGCTTCCACCGGCAAGATTTCACGAAATATAGCGTAGTCGTTTTGAGTGGATAAGCATGGTTTATATTGGTGATTTTA